CTCAACAAATTTACCTGCTTTCTGAACCATGTCGTTGAGCCCAAAGCACACAACGCCTTTCTCTGTGACAGATATTTTGAGTCCAATCGAGGAGACCTACAAGAAGTTTAGTGCTATGGACGGCGCAGGGAATCTAACCTCTCCGCTTGGCGCTTACCGACAACCTCAGGTCTCTCAACCCGGCATGCAACAGCACTCCGTGGGTCACAACGCCGCTGTGGCCACCACTTACCACATGTCACACGGCGTCTCGCAGTTTTCTCACGGTGCCATGGGAGGATATTGCAACGGAAGCATCGGTAACATGGGAGACCTCCCGTCGTACCAAGAAAGCATGAGGAACAGTGGAGCGGCAACGGGGTGGTACGGCGCGAATCCCGACCCAAGATATTCAACAAGTAAGTTCAATTTAATTCTAAATAGCTGCTATATAGACGCTTTGCGCCCGCAGGTGTGGTGAAAATTACTAATACCAAATATGCCAAAATAATAAAGTGAGAGCATTTTAAGCAAGTATGTAGCTGCCATGTGACATTTTCTCGCAATTAAGTAATACCATACAAAACAAAATATTTCAGATGAGCAGTACAAAATTTTACACAAATAGTAAGATTTGTTTTTATATAGTTAGCTTAATCAGTATATATTCACATTTCCTTTTTTGCCATGTATAGGCTAAAAACAATGTAGTTTTTAAATATACTTGTAAAATAAAATTCTACTGATTATTGAATGCACGTATATGTATATATATTTTTAAGTTTCTAGATTCATGGGACCTTCCACAGGTATGAATATGACCGGCATGGGGACTCTGACAGGAATGGCGGACGCTGCCAAGACCATACCTCCTCTACACTCAGCCCCCCGGAGGAAAAGACGAGTCCTGTTCTCTCAGGCTCAAGTGTACGAACTCGAAAGGAGATTTAAACAACAGAAATATCTCTCGGCACCTGAAAGGGAACACCTGGCAAGCATGATACACCTCACCCCGACCCAGGTCAAGATCTGGTTCCAGAACCACAGATACAAGATGAAGCGTCAGGCCAAAGACAAAGCAGCGCAGCAACTGCAGCAGGACAGCAGCGCCTGTCAGCAGCAGTCGCCGAGGCGCGTGGCCGTTCCCGTCCTCGTTAAGGACGGAAAACCGTGTCAGAACGGCTCTAACACGCCAACGCCGAGTCAGCAGCAGGTCCAGCAGCAAAACGGCTCCGGGGTCGTGATTCCAACTTCCAATAATGCTATCAATCAACATCAAAATCAGCAAGTCAACCCATTAGTACAGGCCCAAGACCTGGAGGAACTGTCCCCCAGCCCTCCATCGCTACACAGTCAAATCGGCACCATGGCGCAGATTGACACTTCGGCTGTAGATTACACTAATAACATGGTCAGTTCGAACCTGCTCTATGGCAGAACGTGGTAGGACTATTCACGCTTCGTTTCACTTTTTGATATAGGACGCTGCGGATACGAGAACGCGTTGAAACCAAGATCAAGTGACACGTGTATCATGTTGATATACCCGACTTTGAGACGGTAGCCTGTGATGACCCAGAGGACTACATTCTGAAGTGAAGCAACTGTTCGGAGAATCGTTTCTTGGCATATCTGAGAGAGCAACTATTTTTGAACACTATGCGGTTGCCGGTGAAAATGTTTGTGTTGTTCATTTTTTTGGGACTTCCCAATTATGTTAATATAGTAAAATGTTGTTAAAAGGAATGCTGCTCCACATTTGGTGATATTTGTGGGTTCGGGGGTGGGGTGGGTTTGGATGGGTTGTGGGGGGGTGTGGGGGGGGGGGGGGGGGGGGGGGGGGGGTTGGTCTGAACTCCCAAAATGACTAAATTACAAATACACCGCAGTGTTTTACCTGATATTTTATTATATAAGTATTGTAAAATAATTTAGACATTTAGATTAATAAAAGTAGAAATTGCATATTTGACTAACACACAGGATCTGGTTTACATGTATTATAATTGTTACGGGATTATTTTGTTTTGTTTTCTTTCTTTTGTAAGTTAAAACACGTGAAGCCTGTATATGTTTCAAACCAATTGAACGTTAACAATAAATCACTTCAAGTGCAAGCTATTTCTGAGGAATTAATTTTTTATAAGGATCTAGAGTTGGAGTGCGTTTTCATTATAATATGATTGAGAACAAATTGGATTGAACGCAAGGTCGATTGGCATATTCAGCGCTATCCACGCGCCAATGGCGACGAACTAGAAATGACGAGCGCTACTGGAATGCATTAATTTTCAAATACAGTTATATTCCAAAAGTAATCTTCAAGTACATTTAAAAGAATGATATTAAACAAATTATAAATAAATTAAATAAAAACAAATGAACAATTTGGCCGTTATATGGCAGGAATAAAATGTATGCAAAATATGTGCTCTTTCCTCGACATTTTGAGTATATATTTCTTTTCAATTATCAAGCACATTAGCTGTTAGTTTTAAATATAATACCTAACCTATTTATTTTGCCAAACAACATTTATGCGTGATTTCATTATACACTGGTCGTGTTTATGAAAGTATTTCAAAGTGAAGTGGTGCCCGGGTGAAAGAAGAATCACAAGTTCGTAAGTTATTTTTAAAATTAAAAAATGCTACATGCATAATTTAAGTATTAATGGGGAAACATATTTTCTCTGCAAACGTAATCTATTCATTGAGAATTTAAGGTTATTAAATAAGAATATTATTTAATTTGAATTATCATAATTATTTTGATTAATCCTTAACTTGTTGATTACCATTGATAAATCAACATAGGTAAATTATCTTTCATACAATTGTTTCGTGTCATATTTTCATTTTATTATTTATTATTATTGTATTGTCATATTGTACTTTGGTGAAAGGAAAGTTTTTTTCCCCTCAAATAATATGCCTAATTAGGTTGCATAATTCACCTGAAAAGGTTTATATTTAAAATGTCAGTTCTTACTTTTACGCGCCTTACACAGTATTTGTAGAAATATTTTGCTAGGGATGTAGACGTTCCTGTTAGTAAAAATGTTTTCAAGTTCTAAAAGTTACCACACTAAATATTCTGCGTGTTGCCAACAAAACCGATATTTTTATGTAAATTGTAAATAAGGTGGAAATAGCTTAATGAATGTATTAATTAACTTGTTACATTCGTTTCATTGTCTTTTATATTTAGTTGTCCCCTTTTTCATGTGGAGGAGTCCAGACCAACGGCGATCTGGTCCTTTATAGCGAACCGATGTATGTTTCTGTCGAACTGGTTTTTGTTGCTCTGTTTATGCTTGCAGATATTGGCCTAACTGGGCTATTTTAACGCAGATACATAAAGATGAAATACGACGAGATTTCATTCTCATATGTAAATTATACAATGTTACAGTAAACTCAGACAAGCGTTAGATACCGGTGGCTGTTGGAGTACGGTAAAATCCTGGTCAAGGGGTTGCTTGTGTACGCTTCAGATGCAGTAGAAATTGTATCCACGACTTCGGAAAAAAAGTATAAAATTTAGCAGGGATAATCGTTTCATTTATTTATTTGTTTTGCTTACGATGTTGTGCGTAGTTTTTTCAGACACGTTTTACTTCATTTTTTTCTCACAAAATTCGAAGTTTTAGAATTCTGGGCTCATTTCAAAAGCGCAATTTAAACAGATAGGACGGGGTGTGCTGTCATGGTCAGAATTCCAAGTCAAAGCAATTAGATTTTTTTGCATGTGCCTATGTTAACCTGCCAAAATAAAAAATATTCAATACAAATCTTTGCAAGAGCTAGGGGGGGACTATATATCTTAAATATGCGGTAAGGAATTTGAATCAAAATCCCGTAATAATATATAGATTTCTAATTTACAACGGGTTTGATTTAGTAGTATCATGAAGCACTGTACAGTAAATAGGCCAATGTGTAGTTATGAAAAGTGGATAAAATCAAGGTCAGTTAAACAGTGATGATGAGACGGATAACCGAACAGCTGCGACTTGTAAGTGACTTGTATTTTTTACAGGTACAGTTAAAATCTGTCAGTGAGAAGAACAACTTAATATGTATTTAAATGAATACAATCCAAAGGACAAAATCTTTAACTTCAAATCGTACGGCCTGCGGCGCGGGGAATCCATGTCCGAAATCCTGTCCCTGAAAGACATGAATCAGCTAGTGATTTTAGACCATCGCGGCACATCAGAAAATAAATCAGCCTTCCTGCATTATTTTTTACAGCCATCGACTTCAATGGCGATAAGCGTTTACTGCATGCTCTACAATTTAGATGCAGAAGAGCCAATTTAAAAGTGGCTGAAAAATTTGACCCCTCTTTAGGATAATTTATTAGGAGGGTGGCATAAATCGACAACCGCTGTCACGCAAACTTAATTCTTTTTTATGCACCGTTAGAAAACACCGGTGTGATATTTGGATACTGCTCCCTTTGAGGCTATTGAAACTAAAGATCTCTCTTTAAAAATCCAGCCTCCTCGACAGGTCCCATTTCAGAGTTTATATATGAAAATATGATGTTATTCGTAATGTATAATTATGTCACATGTTCCTCGTTTGTCCAATTTTGAAAATGCTCTCCAGAAACAAGGCAGAGATAGTGGACGCGTAAGTGAACGTGATCACCCCACTCAGAAAAAATCCGTTAAAACACATCTAGACTCTAGAACCTTTGAGAAGTTACCATAACTCGTAAGTCCAATCAAATCTCTTAAAGGGTTACAATGTTTTTCAGATTTTAATTAATACATGCGTTAATTTACTTTATTAAAATTCAACATAAAAAGTTGCATGTAAAATATATTCATTCTCTGCGTTGCGGCTTAGAAATATGGGATATGAGGTCTTCTTTGTAAAATTACCTGTTGCAGAGAATTTCGGCAACCTCAACATAGCGCCGTTGGTAGCTGTTTGTTTGTTTTCGTTGTTGTAGCCGAGTTTGTTAGCCACTGTTTCTTAACTGGTTGATGGGATTGTTATTGTTCATACCTGGATTTGTCAGCCATCGTCAATAGCTGCGTTCACCATCCACGTTCATATTTCTTAGCGACTGTGGCTCAATTTCATAGATACTTTTGGATGGTGTGGCTAATTAGCCACTGTTGCTAACTTTGCTTGCTAGCCTGGTAGCCATGGATGGGGGATAGGTAGGTCTGCTAAAGCTCTGGTCCCCAAGACAGCCTGAAAAACCAGAGAAAGCATTCGTTAGCACAGGTCTCAAAAACAGGTGCTGTTGGACAATAGTGCATTTAAACGGTTTACCGGTGCATTTTAGGGAGACTAACATCTGTACACTTCAAGACAAGATACACTCTGGCAGGCCTGATCTATGCAGATCCTAAATCCGAATAAAGTTAACGGTCATAAAAATAGTTATTTAGGAAAAGGGGAAGGTTTCTCAATACCATGTCGAAGAAAATGTCTGAACTGAAGCTGAAAGATTTTGGGACATTATTGAAAGTAGTCTATTCTTTCCCATTAATTGCAGGTTACAAATGAATTCTTACCATCAGGCAATTGGAATCTAGGTTAGCAGCCTTGTCTGGATTTTCCCATCCTTTATTCCGCTTAATATGTCAGAAGGTCTGATCACAGAGAAACCTTTTCAAGTTCTATTGATGCGGTTTTCAATTGACCGTGGTGACCTAGCAACACACAAGTACTAATTGGCATACGCTGGCTGACATTGGAAGTATAGTTTTTATGGAGGCGAAACTCAAGAAACTCATTTTCCAAACATTGTAAATTTTGTAAAAAGGAAAAACAGTTTTTACATCCACATTCCTGCCCATATAAAGCAATGAAACAATTTATACAAATCCCATTTCATTCGCTTTATTGCAAATATGAGGTTAAAGAAACTAGTTTATAAAATATCTGCACTCATGCCTTCGCAAAAGCAAGATAATTCTGAAGCATGATTATACAGCAAACATATACGTGTCAACGTACATTTTACAGACATTTGCAAAATAATACCCTTGTATTTGTAAATAGTTTGTCATGCATGTGTACATAACTCATTATTGACCTGGTTGAGTGACTGAAATCAGTAAAAATGTTAACAGCAAATCTGCCAGAAGCTTCCAGATAATCATAGTTATTGACTGGAGTGGGACAGAAAGGAATCAGTCACAGAGGGTCTCCCCAAAGACGACACTGGCTACACACATGCTCCTTCCTAACCTGCGATTAAAAAAAGGTGCTGTGTACATTCCACATCCCCCCCCCCTCCCCTCCCCCCCCCGCACATCCACTCACTGCCTTTTTTTGTGAAATGCCAGACAAGAAAACTCCCTCAAACTCACAACATGTATAGTGATTAAAAGACCAACCCTGCCTCTCTGTACGAATAGGAAAGATGCTGTGAGAGATTTTAATTAGTTTAATTAGATAGATAGATAGATAGATAGATAGATAGATAGATAGAAAGATAGATGGACAATTGTGTGAATGCATAAACCTGGATTATTGAGACACGCCATCGTGAAGCATTCAGATACGCAGAGGTAATGCAGCACTCGATTTATGTAGTTCTGGGAAAGCCATTGGCTCCTGAGATCAAAGGAGCCCCAGGAAGCAGAAACTTTTCTAATTCTGGTCAATTTAAACTGGAAAAATAGATGACAAATAATCATCCTCCGACAGAATGAAAACATTTCAAGGGGGTCACAGGACTCAGAAAGCAATTCCCACCCTAATAGATTTCCATGAAATTAAATAACTGCAGCCATGTTGTAAACCTTGCCTTTGGTTCCAAGATATTGCTGCCGCACACCAGCAATATCACCCTTTCCGGGGCTTAAACTGTGTAATTCTGCAACTTGCCATGAATACCATTTCAGCAATATGCGGCGTTATAAAAAAAAAAAAACGAGTTACCTTTATGAAGTCCATTCTATTCCTCTGGCACAGAAAGACAAGGGGGACCATCCCTGATTAGGGAACCAGGTCACATCCCCACTAAGGCTTGCGGTTGCTGAGCGGTGGGGTCCGTAATCCCCCCCTTCAGGTTCCTTTTGCATTTAATTCAGTTTGGTCATAAGTAGTTAAAGAAACTGTTTTCAGTTGCCACTAATAACTACTGACCTAATGTGACACAGGCCCACAATAGGTTTGTCAAGCCTGAAAAGTTGGACCAAAGAAGCTGATTAGGACTTCAAGAGGTTTGAACCAGGAATCAATGGCTGGCTTGTACCAACGCCGTGGCGGCAGTGTGGAAATGGTAATACCAGAACATGATTAGTTATGCCTCATTAAGTTCTGTGCAACCCCTTAAGGGAAATTTGTTTAGCCTGTGCAAAATCTAATGAAGATTTAAGCCCTCTGTGTGAAATAGTATGGTTTATAAAATGCTAAAAAGCTAACAGGGAAATTAAATATACTGAAAATATGTTATACAGTTTGTGCTATATTCCCAAAATGGATTTCTGCGAATATCTCAGAATTGTTTGCTGTTTATATCTTTAGTAAAGTCAGCATTGCAGTGATATTATTACAAAAATGGTTTTCATGAATCAACAAGCGAAGCAGGAATATCTGCGGAAATTGAAAATGTCGCAGGTGAAAATAATTTCTGAAATGAAACAAATATTTTCTCACAGCTTTTGTAATTGATACGTAAACAAACATCGGGACTGTTTCAATGTATCACCATCACAATTTTAACTGCGTATTAAGATGAATACAAAGCAAAACAAAATCTACAGGATAAGTGACTATAATGTTTTGACATTATAAACAAATCAAGATTAAATAAATAAATATATATATATATAACACAGCTTTGAGTTTCCATGTATAACAAAATTGAAAAGGACTATTACAATTTTTTTAAAGTAGCTAATTGTGATTATTAAAGGGTTAATTGTAATTGTGAAGCTGAACAGAAACAGAAGAACAAAGCAGACACTCAAGGCGAAGTCTACTGGACATAACTCCCCATGACCACTTACGCTCCCCCAAGCTGGTCTGCTGTATGCTCCTAGCATACCCGCTAAGCTAGCAGAAGAGCTGCTCACCTGTAAACACCCTCTCCGGACAGCAATGGCTGATGTGCTCGGTTCAGGGTAGAGGTCCAGTCATAAATTGCGGCATTGAGGGAACCTAACACAGAATGAGGAAAAAATTAAGCACCCCCCACCACCAAAAATAAAGAAAAATACACTGTGATGCATAAAATTAAATTTTTCATATTTGTTTATTTTTTTTCCTCTATACTGAAAAATCACGACTCTCAAATAAAAATCCAGAAAGCATCTTTCTTACCTTGAATACTACTTTCCCGAAGGGGTTCATTGAGGAGAATTCAGTCAGTATGGCGTCTGTTTTAATATTTCACTATATTTTTCTTAGCTCTTGATTATGTGTGTTTTTCTTACAAATCATGCCACTAAAAAACAAACAAACAAACAAACAAAGAAAAAAAAAAAAACCGATTTTGCCAAATGTTTTTGTGCCAGAGCTTGGTGACTCAGGAAATGCACACGCCCAGTAACACACGTCCTCAACATGAAAACATTCCCGGCACCGCCGCTGTCAGCTCCGGGGTTCAACCGTAAATGCCAAGTGCTTGACGGTGGTAAAACCCCGGGCAGGAGTCCACCTCTGCCATTCCGTGGTGCAGGCAGGTCCAGCAGAATAGCACTGCTGTGAAATATGCTTTGGGGCAGCAAAGATCAAACCCTCAATCCACTCAAAGCCCATCCACTTACGGACCACAGGCACAGATGCACAACCTCGGCCGCTTATTTAAGGGGCTGGATCGCGACCGAAGTTGCTAATTCAAAACACTGAAAATCTCTCCCTGTGTGTAGCTACCAATGGCGGGAAGCTAGCGCGGGCACCAGTGTTATTAATAATTATTACTAATAATTCTGCACCCAAGGGTTACAAAACAACATTGTAAATCCCAACCTAATGTCTGAGCCCGACTTGGTGGACGGCTTTCCCAGGAATATGACAAACATCCCTCTGAAATTTGATTGTTGGGTGTCCTCATTACGAGAAAACTAAGAAAGTTAAGTCCGTGTCACTATACCGATGCTTCAGATCACATAAGGATTTTCCAAGCACAAGTGCACTGTGTGCTGAGACGGCGTCTCCCCTCAATGGGCTTCATTGTCGGCCAGCTGAAGTATTCTGCTCTCCTCCCTCCACGGCCTACACAAAGCTGCACTTTTTAACTAGCGAACAGCTCCTTCCCAATCCGCCGTTGCCAAGGCGATGGCCAGCTGCGAGTCTGGGGCATGTTTGTTTATAGGGGCTGGTTTGGTGAGTGGCTCAAACGAAGGGGTGGGGGGGGGGGGGTGTATACCTTTACGACGACACAACTTTATCATTAAAAGATGACAACAAAATGCGAAAAATTCAGGATTTTCTGTTATAATCTAGTAAAAACAAAAATATAAATGCAGTCTCTGAAATATTAGCCTGTCCATGAATTTCAAACTGTAAATATCAAACTCAGGCCCAAAGACAAGGTGAAGCAGTGAAACATGTTGATGGTAAGTGATTAGAAATGAATTAATAAGTATATTTTGTTTTGACTAGGTTGAAATATGAGTCACTGGACACAGGCAAGGCGGACGGGCCTTCCGACCTGTAGACACACTCCCAGCCGCTTGTCACGTAGACTGACAAAACAAACGTTTGGCGGCTGGGGATTAGCCTGATAAATTAGCCTGATAAGCATGGTGCAGCGAAAGGGGGCCCGTCATCCTTTGACATTTTTTATAAATTCGTCATCTTTAATAATGTTAGCTAGGGATGCAGGGGAGTACTTAAACTCCTTGAAGAGATGGAAGGCCAAAAGCAAAGATGGACCACCCACTTTCTCCCCAATTATCGTCTGGCACCAACCTGTATCTCAGGCATGACACTCTGAGCAGCCCTAATTAGATGCCTGTTTGTCTCCTTAATAAACTTCCAGACTGTAGGTAATAATCAATGGACTGTGGTCCCCATGTCTGCGTACAAACGGGATTACAACGCAAATCCCCCGATACAACAGACAGTTGTAGCCACTCATCTCAAAAGGCTGGCTATTTAAAAATATGGTCGACAATACCCACCCCCACCACCCCACAGTTAAACAAGGCTTTGTTTGCTGATGCTGCTGCTGTAAAAAAGAGAGTAATAATCAGAATGAAGACAACTATGTATATTCCCAATGATCTAAATTTATACAGCATATGTATTGATCTAAATATAGATATAGACTGAGATCTAGATATAGATATATAACTAGAGTACATATGTGTGTGTGTGTCTATATATATAGTGTGAATGTGAATAAAATGCATCCTCATGGCCCCATAAATTAATCCATATTTAAATCTTAAATAATAGATTTTCAGGGGTGATCGCAATAAGACAGACAATAAGAACATGTTAATTGAACAATTAAAGCAAACCAACAATGGGAACAATGGGCTGTTTTCGAGATGCTGGGCCGCTGTCCTTTAAACAGGCTGAAGTGTTTGTTTGGCCTGATTTAAACAGCTGGTAGGAGAATCGATGCCATGCAAGCAAGGGACAGGGGGCTTTGACTCCTCTCGGTAGGGGTTGGCGTTGCAGTGAAAGGGGAAGTTAACTTAGTTTAAACACTCTCGCCAATCCACCACACCCAATCAAAGCAACCCGGGAGTGGGGGGGGGGGTGCTTTTGTCAGCTACGCTGTCCGCCATTCTCTGTGAGGCCGGGCCAAACATTTCATTACCTCCCAGGCTGGCTGTAGAAAGCAGCACTCTGATTGGTCGATGTGAGAGGCGAGTCAGGGTTGGAGTCCATACCTCCAGACATCCTCATTCCTGCTCTCTGCTGAGCCTGACATGTGCAAAGCATCCATTAGTCACCACTAACTAAGGATGCAGCGTTAATCAAGATACATGGTTTCACAAACATCCAAAAAGGGGGGCAGAAGGGGAAAATACTTTTCAACTAATACAAAAACCACATTCTTGACATGTGACGTTGTTTACATCGAGATCACCTATATGACAAATTTCAGCTGGATTTTTAAAATATTTTTGACATAACTACAAAACTTTGCATGCAGTCAATTACTTTTGTAATAAAAATATATTTATTTACAGATACTGAAATATATAATATAGAATGGTATTTAGAGAGATTTAGAGAGGGTTTCTTTAAGTAGTGAAGCTAAATTAATATGGCATCAGCATCTGAAGAGACTGAGAATTCAGTGCAGTACTTATTTCAGATTTATATTACCTTACATATACATTTCTCTTCTGAGGCAAAACATTTGCTTCCTCTGAACTTAATAAAAAAATCAATTAAAGTATTACTCTACATTTAATTACTTTCCTCATGCCAGAATTAATTACCAAAAACATTAAGAAATCTCACAAAACAGAAATACAGCTCGTCTTAAATGCACATGAATCTGACAAAGTCAATTATGTTTATTAAGAAAAAAATATCAGTATCCAATTATTTTTTTCACTACGTCCCTCTTTAACTGGAGTATAATCATTTTAATCATTAAAAAAATGTGCATAACGCATATTCATTTCTCAGAAATAAATCCCAGAAAATGTAACATTTATATGTATCCATTTTCTATACTTGCTCGTCCTATTCAGGGCCGTGGGGGGGTCTGGAACCTATCCAGGAAGCTATGGGTGCAAGGCAGGGAACAACCCAGGATGGGGCACCGACCCATCACAGGGCACACTCACACACACACTCGCACACCATTCACACCTACGGGCAATTTGGTAACTCCAATTCACATAAGCATGTTTTTGGACTGTGGGGGGAAACTGGAGTACCCAGAGGAAACCCCATAATGACACGGGGAAAACATGCAAACTCCACACTCATGGAGCCACGGTGGAGAGGTATAAGGCAACAGTGCCAACGACTGCGCCACCATATAGAAATTAATACATCACTCATCTAACGGCTAATCTACTTTATCTGTATGTATGGCTACTGGAAATAAGAGCAATCATAGCATTTCATTTTGGATGAAAAATTAACACTGTATTATACAATATATTCCAGCGCAGTATAATAATTTAAGAATAATATAAATTTAAATTTCACAAATAAAAGGGGCTGTGAGGTGGAATTCATGTTGTAGTTGTTACTTTCAGGATGTATATTTTCACTATGGATTCAAGCTGTTTTGTTTCCTATAAAGGAGTCTCTTAAAATACAGCACAGCAGGGATGCGAAAATAGATGGATAGGAGCAGGTGACAAAAATTGTACAGGCAGAAATTCCAGTACCTCTGAGCAATATAAGAGTCTGTTCATACATAATAACATGATGATGCTATAGAAGCAGGCCACTTTGACTGCAGTGGGTTCCCTGTAAAATTGTGTAGGGGAAAAATGAGGGCAGCAGTTCTTACAATATGAAATGGCATCGCTACAGATTATCACCTAGAGTGTAGCATCCTCGTAAAAATTCAAGTTACTGTTCCATTTATTCCTGAGGAGGGAGAGAGCTTAGTCACATGAGATAAGATAGCTAGCAATTCATAGAAACCTGCTGCTTTTTGGTATGAAATTTCTACGTTTTTCATAGAGGGAAGGAACAGCAGATAAGATTTTGATAAAACAGTTGGTCTCTGAGTTAACTCAGTTTCTCAACTGTAGATATAGCAAGTATTTGTTTTGTGGAAAGGAGACGTTTAAGATCAAATAAAAAACAGCAAGGGAGCCGTCATTGAAATTGTGGTCTAGATGGTGCCATGACCTGAAAAATAATGACCTAAAAAAACATTGTGTATAATTCTGATAACGTACAAATGCATAGATTATGCAATAAAATTCGAGGATACAGGACATGAGAGAGGAAAATCTGGGCCCATGCCAAATGACATAAAGAATTAAAGGGTTGTGTAACATGATTTTGTTCCGACCTAGAGCTGCCCGCACTAAGAGTGCCCCTAGTGGAGAAAGCGGAGATATAAGAAACTGAACATTGCCACCTATTGTTAAGCTTGAGCAGATAGATCTGGCACTTTTACTGCACACTGCATGAAGCTTAAAGTGTTCCATAAATTCCATTACTGAAACATGAGTCTAGTCCAGGCAATCTGTGCATAATATCAGAAATCGTGGGGGAGTTGAATGTATCAGCTCAGCTTTAGAAAAAGGCATCTAATGTGGCCACTAATTTGCAGACAGACTGAAAACTGCGGCTGCCGCTTCACTCACACGTCTTTATAAATGTCCTACTTTACAGCTTTTCTAAGTCTTTTTTTTTTTTTTATTAGAACCAGTCTGGTGGTGTTAATTGCCAATGCACAAACACTCACAAATTAGAGGGAATAAAAAAAAAAACAGAGCTTTGTTGCACAAATTAGTCTGAAGTGATCATTCAGATAAGAACCTGTACTTTGTAACAAAAGCTAATTTTACACGTGGTAATCACAACCCACCATGAATGGGAAAATGATGAAAAAATCTCTGTTTTAAGAATATTATTCCTGCTAAACTATGGCACAAGCTCCTTCTCGAAACCATAACCAAAATTGCATTGCAGCACTGACTAAATATTTGTCAAGATGAATGGGAAGTACACACAAGTGCATTTGGCATTTCACAAACAGTCTGATAAAGTGCCCTGCTTCTGACAAAATGGCAGGTTCTCCGCCTGATACCAGTTACAGGGTCTCTGCGGCCAAAATCGCAGATAGGCGCTTGGTTTATGTTAATTCTCTTCTTCAGTGCCTAAATGAGGTATCTGACATTTGCTTCACAAAGGGTAGACACTACTTAGGCATTTTAGTAGGGAAAAATTAGGTTGTCAGAATTTACAATGCAGCTGAATTCTAATCTGAGTGTTGAACTGTGGAAAATGCATACAGGTAATTACTGTACTTTTCAGAACTATAAGGCCATAAATTAAAATCTCCAACAACTTCTCAAGTGACAACTCATCTAATCAGGAGGACAATCACGGAGGATCCTTGCTGTTTACTGATTGCACTAATCAAAAATGGCTTCTTCAAACACAGCTAATGGGTGAGTTTACCCACTGAAGCGGGCCACGGACGTGCGTGGGGCGCCACGCTGATTTGCAGAAACCAAATATCCCATTTGCATTGAGTGCCGTCAGAATGCACTTGACTCCCACAAGTTATCAGCATCCAGACAATTATTCATCAACTGTAAATTGGCACATCAAAGTCAAATCAGAGGATAACCAGCGGAAACACCCAAGCTGCAATGGGGGAGGCGAAGGGTGACGTTTGATTGACCGCTTTGCCCTTCCAGAATGGTTTGACCACATTATCATTTTTGGCACCATGCATGAATCATCGCACCCCTCCAGCCCCCCCCCACCCCAAGCCTCTGAATTTTTCTGTTCCATGTATCAATTAAATTCCTGGGGGGGATAAGAGTAAATAATATTTGTTGATTGATGAATTGGGTATCATAAGTTGAAAGACAATGTGAAATTTCATTTTATGACACTCATCATGTGAATCATAAATGCACCTTGGTCTAGTTGAGATCCTTCGCATTATTGTTTGTTTGTTTGTTTATTTATTTATTTATTTATTCATTCTCACGACATGTCAAAGCTACTAGCTGCATGTTCCCTTGAGGTATGTTACTTATGTAAGCCCAAAGGCAGCTGATGGCTCCATAATGATTGTATGTCAGCCTATTTACCAGCTCGTTCAAATAACGGGTTCAAGATGATATTTGCCTCTGTGTTGGAAGCAGGTCTGCCTGTTAAACAGGAGCTGGCGAGGCTGCCTTCAATGAGAAGGATGCTGCCTCTCCAGAAGGCTCTCCAAGCCCTTGCAGGGGTCCATTGGACTTGCGGCGTGTAAAACAGCTACCAGTCATTAAGGGGTGGGAACCTTCCCCGCGCTTATCGAAAGCCGCAGCATCAAGGCCGGACTGCCAACCTTGTGTTTTTGTTCAAACCAGAATCTTAAGTAGCTGGATGTTGCAACCCCTCCCCCCCCCCAAAACCCCCCCATTTTTACATAAATAAATGTGTGAGTGCACACTCTTTGTGAAAGACATTCCCTATCAATGCTGGTAGCTGACGGCTGTCAAGAAGGGTCAGTATACAACCGCATTCAGTTTGCAGCGGCGGCTTAAATTATCAAACCTTGATTGAAGAGGTCTGCTGAAATCCACACTGCAATACGCGCCAGTCGCAGTGTAAAAGAAATAACCAAAGATAAATCTAGTTAATGAAAGCTTTTATTGGCAATGAGTCCAGTTCAGTCTACTTGTCATACAGGTGTGTCAAGTTTATTGGTGTTCAAGGCAGGACTAACATACCTCAATAAACTATCTATCTATATATATATATATATATATATATATATATATATATATATATATATATATATATATA